CATTCAGGCCACAGCCAGCTTTCATTGTTTTCTGCTTTCTCTTGTTTGGTCTCCTTTCCTTGACTTTCCCACATCATGTTTTGAGCCTCTCTCCATAGAAGCCTGTGTAAGTGCTGCCAGCTCTGTCTAATCAGCCGGCTGTAATTTCTAGCCCAAGCCCTGTTATCTGTAGACGTGGCCTGTTGGACTCACTTGAGTTTTCAAAGGCACCAGAATCATTTTGCCTTGGAAGCAAATGTATGTGTTACCCCTTCACCTATCACTCAAGGTATTGGTTAGGGCTCGGCCAATGACTATGAAAATACTGGAGAGGAGTGTGAGACGGGAACAATGGACATTGACTTTTGAGTGTGGGAGGAGAAAGAAAACTCACGTGAAACTTTTTCATAGGACACAGGAGTTTCCTCTCTGTGCTTTTCTCATTTCTATCTGCAAATTTAGTTGTCAATCAATCAGCTCAAAATTATAACCAAATGGAGGGATTGTTGGCTGTGGATGTTGCATCTTTCAGCTGTGATGGTGAAGAACAGGTTGCTGTGGGAGCAAGCCCGGTGATTTCTGCTTCCTGCTGTGCACATCCTGTGTGGTCCCTTCCGCCAATAGAAGTGATACTTTGTAACGTCCAAGTTTGGCTATGACAGACTGCAGAGTTTGTGTTGGCTCATGTGTTCTGGATCACTCCTTTTCGATACACCCTCCTTGAATGTCCTACAGGGAAGCTCACATACTGGACAGGACAGGTTTCTCCCAAGCCTCCTGAGTACGCTTGGAAGTGGATTTCAGATGACTGAAGCAGCCATGTAGCCCAGGCTGGCCCCTTGATTGTAGCCCTTTGACTAAACCATTTCCTTATTTCTGACCAACAGAGATCACAAGGGAGTAAATGCTTCAGGTTTTGAAGTTTAATGTAATTTATTACACAGTAGTAGATAACCACACCAATGGTAAATAGTTGGGTTAGACCAAGACTAAATTAATTTGGCTTTGGAAGAACTGGTATTAAAGCCATTCTGAAGCTTTGGAACTACAGTTTGGTTTTTTTTTCTTAATTGTAGTTTCACCTACTTATGAAAAATTGGTTGAATGGTATGTCAGATTATTATTAATGTAAGATTACTTCCTCAACGTATTTTCTATATTTTTTTTAAAAAAGTTTTAATTGGGCTGGGGATGTAGTTTAGTTAGTAGAGTGCTTGGCTAGCACACGCAAAGTATGACTCTCCAGCCCTGTGTACAGTGACATGCAATCCCAGCATTCCTGAGACCCATGCAGGAGAATTAGAAATTTAAGGTCGTCCTTAACAACATAATGAGCTTGAGGCCACTAGCCTGGGGTACACAAGACTGTCTCAAAATAAATAAACAAATAAATGAAAGTTTGGAAGTGATTTAGCTATGTATTTTATGTTTATGGCTAGAGTAAAAACCAGCCAGCCGATTTTAAAACAGATATAGAACACCTAAGTGCACGGAATTGGATTATGATTTTTGGTATTTTTATAAGGAAACAAACTGAAATATAATTTCCAGGGCTTAGAAATAAAAGTAAGTAAAATTAAAGAAATAAGGTTTCCAGAGGAGTTGCTGAATTTGTATGTTAGAACTCTCTCTCTCTCTCTCTCTTTCTCAGGCCTCTTCATTAGGGCTAACTTAATTTATGAGTTCTCATAGTCACTTCATTTTGCTCTAATCTATTCTATGTACTGATTATGCACAGAAAAGTCAGTTATCATCTGGTTTTGGATTAGCGCTGCCCCATTGTTGTTGTTGTTCATCATTGCTTGGTTTCTCCTCTCATTTTCCTTACATCACCACCGTGGTGGTCCTTCCTGAACGTGACTGTAAGAATTGAAGGTAGGAAGAACATCATGTTTCCATATCAAGAAAGCACCTGCACAGGTCGTTTGAGAAGGGCCGAGAGTTAAGCCTGAGGCTGTAAAATGGTGGTTGAGTTTGAAGCGGGCTCCCAGGTGGATGTGTTCTATTTAGCCTGTATTATGTTGTCTCACACAGAGTTCTTTTAAAAAATAAAGTTGCTAACACTTAAAGGGCAGGGAGCTTCACATCTCAGAAGGGCCTGATGACAGCATGCCTCTATTCTTGCACGGCCACAGAGGGCTAAGGCTAGCAATTGTTGTCCCTTGTAGATAGAGGCCTTCCCCTCCTCCACTGCTTCTAAGTGTCCTGTTTTCCTTCCTTCTTTGGGCTTTATTTATTTTCGTTTCTTTCCTACAGGCTCTGAGTTTACTTACTTTGATTTAAACAGACAACTTAATGCATAATTACGAAGTAAGATTGAGAGTTTAGGGTGTAGCCTAGTGTTTCACAGATGGGGAAGTAAGACCTCTGATATGCCCCACCACCACCACCCAGTGGCCTTCACAGTATTTTCCAGCTCTTGAAAGCTGCCAGGGAAGAACAGCCTCTTTCTAAGTTAGACTCACAAAATTAGAGATTTGAAGAGAGGGTCCTATGCTGGCTGGTTTTATGTCAACTTGACACCGTTAGTTACCTGAAAGGAGGGCCCTCAACTGAGAAAATGCCGCCATAGGATCCAGCTGTAGAGTGTTCTCTTAATTAGTGATTGATGGGGAGGGCCCACTCTATAGTGGGTAGTGCCCTTCCTGGGTGGGTGGTTGCAGAACAGCATAGTGTAGAGTTGGGTAGCATTTCAGGACAGTGTGCGTTATTATTAACGGCTCAGCATCCAGCTGATGAAGCATTTGTTACTCCGACAACCATTCAATGAGAAATATATGCATATTATAAAATAGGTATCTTAAGTTTTTGTTGTTAATGGCTTACTTGTTTAGCTGGGGAAGGTTTAGTATTTCCTTTAAAGAGTTGAAGTTCACTGTGTACTCTTTATTCCTAGGAACTGTATAAGAGGGAAAACACAGAAGCGAATTCATCTTTCCACTTTTTTAAGATAAATGTTTGGTCCATTGTCTCAGCTTCTTTTCTGCTGCTGTGAGAAACAGTGTGAGGAGAAAGGGTTTATGTGGCTCGTAATTCTGGGTTTCAGCCCCTCAGAGGAGGGATATCACAGTGGGAGGAGCTTGAGAGAACTGCTTACATTACACCCACAGTCAAGAGCGGAGAGGACCAGTGAAATCACCCCTGGTGGTGCCCAGTCTACAGTCCCAGTCTTACAGAGTCCATGGTTCCCTACTCAGAATGGTATTGTCCACAATCAAAGTAGGGCTTCCCACTTCTATTAATCGAGACGGCAATCCTTCTCAGACACTCTCAGAGGCTAACCTTAATCTACACAATCCTTCACAAGGTTTGCTCGTGGGTGTCACGTTGACAGGATTTACCACCTTGCCCATTGTATTCCAATAGGCACATATAAAATTGATATTACCATATAATATCTGTATAATTTGGGTTGGTTTGAATCTCACAGGAACCTGTTAACTAACAGGAAATTTGAGTGTTGTATTTAGAAACAACACACACTGTTTTATATATATTCTCTTCTATTTCCCTTGAGTGGTGGATGTGGAGAAACATGGCTTACCTCCTTAGCCTGCTGTCCTGTTCATCTTCTGGTGGATGGATCAGCAGATATTTCCGAGGGACCTGTTACATTGCTGTGTAACAGTCTTTCTGATATTATGTTTGTTTTAAAAAAGATTCCTCTTACTTCCCCTGGTTTTTGAGATGGTATATAAACTTCACATTTATATCATATTACATACCAGATTTTTTAAAAATCAAAACATTTGTTAGTGAATGTACTGTTAATTTGTAGAAGTGTGTCACAGGCTCCAGAATTCAGATGATAACCTTCCATTAATACTTGTTTAATGAAAGAATGAATAAAATGTTTATACATTATTGTGACTTCTAAGATAATTATGGTAGTTTAAGGAAAACAAATTATACACACTAACCTGTCTTTAATAACATTAATTTCTTTTGGAAAATGTAGTATTATCAATCTTTTGAAAAATTAAATATTTTCTGCAAATTAAAGACTAAAGTGACATGGTAAATAGCTACTTCAGCTTGATAATTGAGACATTTATGTAAAAGGCTCTAGAAATATGGGGAAATGGGAACGCTGTTTGGCAGGAGAGATGTGAGAAATGGTGGGTGTGACTCCTTGAGGCCACAGTTGCCTCGGGAGCAGAATGAGTTCCTGGGCAGAGCTTCCTGCTTCTGCATTTATCGCCTGTGCCTTGTAAGCATCGGCCCCAACATCTCTCATTCTCTGAAATGTAAAATTATTATTTTATAGCTGTTATTCTCGGACATGTGAGTAAATCAACACATATATTCAAAAGATATTTATTTGCTCCTTGTGTAACATAATAAATATCAATTTATTCCCTTACCTAGGTATTAATAATTATATGTAAAAGTATGTTGATAAGTTTTAAACCTCATTTTTGAAAGTATTTTAGCAAACAATGAAAAGACAATCTTTTATTTTGTATAAAATATTTTAAAAAAAATCTTTTTGAAGTATTAGAAGATGAAAGGAATTTAAAAATCGACATTATTGGTCCATGATTCATGCTAGTGTTTACTCATGTAAATAGAACAGAATACTACCTAATTAATGTGGTTGTAAATAGAACAGAATACTACCTAATTAGTGTGGTTGGTAAATTTTTGGTACTTTAATTTTCTCTGTTATTGTAAACCATGCATAAAATGCTGGCCTATTGAGAAGTGCAGAATTGCCAGAGCTTAAACAGCTGACATCTGCTTACTCTCTTAAAAAAAAAAAAAGGATAACAGGCCGTTTCAGCCTAATCTACCTCAAATGTGTTCGTGTAAATGGAGGCCCGTCTATTGACCTGTGTTCTTCTCAGCTCGGGATTGGTCCACATGGTTTATGAAACCAGAAAGGCTGATTTGAAATGCAGATGTCGAGAGAGTGAAGTACACCCTCCCCTTTTTTCTTTGCTGTATCTGTCAGGGTGAAAGATGGCTTGCACAAGGGTCAGTCACCCATACTCACTTAATTCCTTTTCTTGGACCCACAGAACTGTCACAAGCTGTGGTGGATGCGGGAGCCGTTCCTCTTTTAGTGCTGTGTATCCAGGAGCCGGAAACGGCTTTGAAAAGGATTGCCGCCTCGGCCCTCAGCGATATTTCAAAGCATTCTCCAGAGTTAGCACAGACGGTGGTGGACGTCGGAGCGATTGCTCACTTAGCCCAGATGATCCTCAACCCTGATGAAAAATTGAAGGTATTTAAAACTGAGGTCAAGAGACAACAGACAAGCCAGCAGTCTTAACAATCCAAGAAAATGAAGCTGTGTACAGACTAATGTTACAGAGAAAAACAATTAACAGATACAGCTGAAAGCAGATACAAATACATCGTGTCTTGGGTCCTTTAGCACGTGGAAATAATGCTTTGGGTGTCACATTTAAGGTGTTTTTTTGGAAATTTGTGTACAATTCTGAAGATTCCAAGTAGCATTAATGCTAACATTAATAATTAAAATAAGGCATTGGCCTAACCAAAATAGCTCAGTTAGGAGCGTCTTAGACTGAAAACAAGACCATAAAGATTTTCTAGCCCATCACTAGAATATTTGAATTTCCTATGAAATTTTCATGTTTATTAGTCCTCTGTTAGCTTTTTAAATCTACCAATTATACAAATATATATATATATATATATACATATATTAATTGTTAATGTTAGCTAAGTGATGACAAGTTCTTTGAGATGGTACCAACATCATATGATAAAGACATTAATTCTGCTTGTTATTGTAATACATACCACACATACCATAAATTAGCAATCTATGTACGGTGTAATTAAGAAGTTTTTTTTAACACCTGAAGGTCCTACATTTTAATCACTGGTAAAAGGTTTTAAAGTACTCCGTAGAGAATTAATGGGGAAATCTAAAAAATTAAGTTTGTGACTAATATGTGAAAGTCCCAGTGCTCAGAAACCTTAGATTGTGCTAAATATCTATATAGCTCTTTTTTCCTCATAAAGAAATATGGATATTATAAAGCTGTTTAAGTTACACCTGAGCTCCGAGGTGGGCCAGTGGACTCTATATGATGTTTTGTTTGACTTATTTTTCTGCTTATCAGCACCAGGTCCTTTCTGCTCTCAGTCACATTGCAAAGCACTCGGTGGACCTAGCAGAGATGGTTGTTGAAGCAGAGATTTTCCCGGTTGTTCTCACCTGTCTGAAGGACAAAGATGAATACGTGAAGAAAAATGCTTGCACTTTAATTAGAGAGATCGCTAAGCACACACCCGAGGTAAAGCAAGCAAAACAAAAACGCGGTCTCCACGGAACAGTTACACTTGGTGTCAAGTTTTTAAATAAAACCCCAATTTGTTTTATTTGTTCTGAGGCTTGCTCCACTCCATCTGACTAGGTCATTGCTCCCTGTCCTCAGCACGCAGACGCTTTGGATGATGTGACAGTCTGTACTTGGTAGAGCGGATGCTCACCAGTGTTCCTGGGCTCTGCCCACTCAATGGCATCACTGCTGTCCCCGCCCCCCAGCAGTGGCAATAAAAACTGACTCCACACATTGTCAGACATTCTCTAGGGTGCAAAATCACCTCCATTTCAGAACCACTGAATTGTATTAATGACATTCGAGTCTGAAAGTCAGTTTCTAGTCATTGATAGCTTTCCATTTCTGGGTTGTGGGGACTTGGAACCTCTGTTATCCTTATCATTTTATGACAGCTGGGAGCAGCGAGAACGATATTGCATCTGTAGGTTGGGACAGACCACAGAGGCTCTCTGGCCTACTGTGACTCTCTGATAGCTAGCTGCTGTAATATGATTTTCTGCTCTGAGCTTTTTGATGTGAAAGAAAGGGAGGCAAAGCAAGCCTGTGTCGATTTTGAGGTTGCGATGACTTTTTCTGTGCCTATTTTGACTAATCTATTTTCACTTTATTCCATGTTGACGCCCTCATTTTTATTTCATCCAATACTTATATGTAGTTGAGATTTTTCTCAAGAACCGAAGTGCACCCAGCTAGTAATCACTGTTGGTGTGCGAGGTAAAATTAGGTCAGACGTTAAGTCTGATGTCTTTGGGCATTGATTCATCTTTAAACTAAGGCATCATGATTGGGCACTTCTGTAGCTAGCCAGTTATGAATTAGCCCTCAGCCTAGTTTCTAAGTGAGGGATTTTGAAATTCATTACAATAGGAATAAAAGTTATGTAATTTTTTTAAACCATAGAACAAACCTTTCCATTATGAATATTTGAGCATTTGAAATAACAGGATTATTATACTTGAACATTTGAAATCGTAGGATTATTATACTTGAACATTTCTTTAATAAATGCAGTAATCTCTTTGAATGGTATTTCGATTTTTACCAGATATTTTTAAGTCCTACATCAAGTGTGGCCAAATCCTATTAAAAGACCATCTTGTGCTGCCTGGGGCCTTTTTCTTTTCTTTCAGCTTTCACAGCTGATCGTTAATGCAGGAGGTGTGGCTGCAGTGATCGACTGCCTTGAGTCCTGCAAAGGGAACATACGGCTGCCCGGCATCATGATGCTCGGTTACGTGGCTGCTCATTCCGAAAACCTGGCAATGGCAGTGATCATCTCCAAGGTTGGTGCTTGCTTCATTTCTCCTAGACATTGTGGTAGGATGGCCTGAGACAGCCGTAGGCTGACACCAAACAGGAAACGTAACTGGACACAGTGAAAGAAATGCCTGAATGTGTTCAGTTGTTTTACCGCTGTCTGTGTTTATTGGTTTGTTTTCCAGGGGGATCTTTGACAAAAGGTGTGAGTTACAGGAAATGTACAGATTTCCATATCTAATATCAACTTTTTTGAACATCACTGTAATCTGTCTTTATATAGTACATTATGTATAATATACATATCTTGAAGGATTCATTGTGCACACATGCAAAAGCACACTATAGAAAAAAACATCATGAAGTGATTTGCCTATTTATCACTTCCATGCACCTCCCTAAGGCCTGTGTATTCCTCCGGCTCCTGGCATTTGGATAAGGAGATGGTTCTGGCTATTTCTCTTTCAGGCGTAGTCATTTAGACAGTCAGAGGGCACAGCAGATGGCAGCATTTTTGTTGCTTCATGTTCTCAATTACAGCTTTGTATGAATCCACCCTGTAGTGAGCCTTGGCCCATAGTAGGTGCTCACAAAATATGTTGGTATATAGATATGGATTTCCTGAGGAGCCCTTCAAAGACCATGTGCTCACACTGTGTGTGGCAGCCCTCTAGGGGGTAGGGCTCTTATCGCCATAGAAAACCTGCTGCTGTTTGTTAAACAGAAATGGGAATCTTCCTTCACTTGCTTATCCTCAGAATACAAAGGAGCCCTAGATCTTGATTTTCTGCCTATTCCACAGCGATGTTCTGCAGTGCTGAGCTCTCACCCTGCCTTTCTTTTGTTCTGTCGCTCCAGACTGCAGCAGCGGCTGGGGCAGTCCCGGTGCTCTGGAGGGGTCGTTAGGGATGTATGTGTCTGGGTTTTGATCCTTGGCTCCTTTGTCAGGAAGATGCCCCATCAGAATGATGAAGCGCAGCGGCAGTTGCTTGAGCATCCTCTACATCCTTTTGAGTCTGGCCAGGACACTGTCCCCTTCTTTGGTGGAGCACTGTCGCCAGTCTCTCCCAGTGTCTGAAGCACACCACACAGCAGTGAGGCCTTTTCTCCTTGTCCTCTGAAGTGCTTCAGGAACCAGTTAATAATGTCTACCATTTATGGCACTTTACCTCTGAAGCACATTTATGCTCCGGGTCTCGTCTGAGTATTCACAGTTGGTGGGATCAATAATAGGGAGCATGGGACAGGCTATGAGGGTCATCTGCTGTCCTCTTCCCTCTCCCTTCTCCCTCAAGCTTGTGTATATATCCATACACAACCTTATATATATAACCTTTCCAGGGTTACTCCAGCCTTAGCAGGTCTGGCTTTTTGTATTTTGGATACACCATTTTTGTACTTTGAATGGGACAGATAAGGAAACATGGTAAATTTCACCAAACTGATTCAAAAGGGGCAAAAAGAAAGAAAAAAGATAAGGAAAAGCAGATTAAAAGGCCACGGGGAAGGCACATGTGATGGTCTTGACCTTTGTCACACAGCATCAACATGTGATACCAGTTCTTGCAGTACTAAATTTGAAATAATTACTATTGTCTCAAACTACTTACAATTATGCCTCTACAAAATCTGGAATTAAAGTTTGATATGTTTATTTGATTCTTCCTTAGGTCTATAAACTGATTTTTTGAGGCCTTTTGATGGTCTTTTTATTGCTTAACCAAAATTAGAGTCTAAAATGAACAATGTACACATTTGCACCTGTGTAACCAAAGCAACCTGGTCCTAGTCAGCCAGTGAAGGTAACAGAACGGCGTTATAAAGTTGACCAAGACTACTGGAAAAGTGTGTATACTTCAGGAAAGATATTAGTGGGGGCGTTCCATGTAAAAGGCACTTAGAGTGGATTCTTGCGCATACTCATTTGAGTTTTAGTTTGTTGCAGTTATTTTATTTTAGATTACTATAGCTGGAGTGCGTATGTTGCTGAGGGTTGAACTGAGGGCTATCCTCAGTCTTCACTTTTTAAATGAAGGAAAATAAATTTTAAGTTTGTCACCATGGAATCTGGTCTTGCCTGGTCTGAGGCATCTCTACCGTCCGCCCACCCGCCCCCCCGCTCGGGGGGGGGGGTAGAAGCTAGTAGAGACATTCTTATTTAAGGTAGATTGTTACAGGTAATTAAGGCAATTTAGTTCTAGTCATTTTATTGACTTAAGAAGTGACCGCCCTTGTGATGAGCACATTTATTGAACCATTTAGGAGGAAAAAAAAAAGAGATCAAGGCTGAAATGATTTCTTCTAATGCCAGAGAGACAGAGAGAACTCTTTAATCCCGCTCTAGATTCAGAGCTTTTGCTCTTTTGATCCCCGCTGCAGGGTGTGCCCCAGTTGTCAGCCTGCCTGTCAGAGGAACCTGAAGATCATATTAAAGCTGCGGCTGCCTGGGCCCTAGGACAGGTCGGGAGACACACTCCGGAGCACGCGCGGGCCGTTGCTATCACCGACGTGTTGCCAGTGCTGCTGGCTTTGTACATGTCCACAGAGAGCTCCGAGGACCTGCAGGTGAAAGTAAGTATTGCTCTGAACAGACTTGGGGCGATTGCGTAGACGCCGACTTATTCTTTAAAATATGTGGTTTAAATGTTTTGATTTTTCCGGTGGACTGTGTCGCTTTTCTGAGTCAGGAAATGCAAATCCTCCAGAAGAATGGGTAACCTGTTCCCCTATCCCCACAGTTAGGGATAAATTTTCAAGAAACTTTTGTACAGATAAAAACTTGGTTGTAAAGCGAATGTCAAGTTTTTACACTCTTTATTGCTGTTGACATTTTCTATGAAATATGAATGGAGTAATAACAGGATTTTTGAATTTAGATTCTCCGGAGAGTGCTTTTCTCTTTTGCTTTAAAAAACAGAGTCAAAAAGAATTTAAGTTGCTTTTTAAAGATATAACCAGTAAGGGAATATTCTTGAAGCTATAATTTGCTTCTCCTAACTTCAAGGATGTCTGATCTTTTAATTCTTTGTCTTGTTTCTTTTAAAAATGTGTAGAAGATTCACCAAACTAAAATTTTTGAATTGTGCATTTTTAAAAGGCAAATTTCTAAGAAAATTATTACTGACAGTCAGGGTGATTCAGGGAACACACACAGAAAGTAGGATGGACTATTTAATAATTTTATCATTTTAAAGAAAGGATATTTTATAGCATACGTATTAAGAAAATATGAAGGTCTTTGAGCTGCTGGGGGAAGTTTACCGCTGAGACAGTAATTGAGAACAAAGTGAACATGGCCAGCTGGACAGCTCAGTGAGTAAAGGTGACCACCGCTAACCCATGACCTGAGTTAATCCCTGGAACTCACATAGCAGAACAGACTGACTTGGCCATGTCACCTACTGAACCCTATACACTTGCTGCAGGCACAACTCACATTCCACAGAAGATAAGTAAACAAATGTAATTAAAACCCCAAATAAAATTAATAGTAAAGTGCATACAAATTTAATAAGATGGTAAATGAAGGAACAGTGAAACATAGTCGCTGATTGTAACTTGGATGACAAGAAAGTCCCCAAGCTTCATGGAAGTGAGTTTCTTTATCTGTTATTACATGCTAAGTTTCTACAAAACGATTTTCAAGAGTAAGATTTTTCTTAGTAGTTGCAAGATTTTCCAGATCAAAATAATGGTTTGTGCCAAGTGATGGCTGTGCATGCCTTTAGTCCCAGCACTTGGGAGGCAGAGGCAGGTGGATCTCTGTGAGTTTGAGACCAGCCTGATCTACAAAGTGAGCTCCAGGACAGTCAGGACTGTTACACAGAAAAAAACTGTTTCAAAAAACAAAACAAAACAAAACAAGAACGGCTTACAGCTAGGCCTAGTGGTTTAGTACATGTATGCATTTATGTGTGTAGTGATATCTTGTTTATGATTTAACAAATACAGCTGAGAGGTCAGAGAAGCAGTGTAACCAGTCACCAGAGAGATCTTTACCTCACCAATGCTGAGACCAAAGGGGCGATCCTGGTCTCAGACTGCTTCAGACGGTACCTCAGGCTATATCCTTGAGCCGCAACAGTCTTTACCAAACCTCAGACTGCAACTGCTCCTGTCCCGCCCCGCCTTACATTCTCTGCCCAGTCACATCCCTCCTGTTTCTACCTCCCGAGTGCTGGGATTAAAGGTGTGGGAGCCCGAGTGCTGGGATCACCTTTGTGTGAGCTCTGTTTCTCTTTTAGACAGATTCAATCTCATGTAGTTCAGGGTAGTCTTGAACTAACAGAGATCCCTCTGCCTCTGTCTCCTGAGTCCTGAGATTAAAGGTGTGAGCCACTGCTGCCTGGTCTCTAGCGGTTTAGCTCTGTACTTTAATCTTCAGGCAAGCTTTCTTTGTTAAAACACAAACAAAATATCACTACATTTCCCCTTTTTTATCTCTCTAGTGGCTGGCTGCATTGATTCCCTGACCTCTCAGCTGTATTTGTTAAATCATAAACAAAATATCACTACATGGGTGTACATATGTATGTGTGTACATGATGTATATGCATGGACATGTGTGCCATGGTTGAATGTGGAGGTCAGAGGCCAGTTCTTTGGAGTTGGTTCTTTCCTTCCATCTAGGGATCAAATCCAGGGCTGGTTTTGAGCAGCAGGCACCTTTTCCTGCTGAGGCTGTCTCTAGCTGGACACATGTCTGCATTTCTTTTGGGTTTATTTCCATAGGTGAAATCGCTCGACCACTGGAAATGCTCTAAGATGTTGAGAGCTATTGGACCATTTTCTTACACAACCGCACCGCCTTACCTCCACCAGCAGTGTAGGAGGTTCCAAGTTTTGCACATTCTTGTGAATGAATTTTATTCCTTCATTCTATTTTTACTGCAGCTATCCTAATGTGTACTTTTGATGTGCCTAATGGCCCATAGTGCTGAAAATATTTTCATATATGCTCTGGCTGTTTATGTGCATTCTTTGACCCTTTATTCATTTTATTATTAATAAAATCAGTCTCAGGGCTTCTCACATGTTAGGCAAGCCTGTGCTTCTGAGCTGTAGAAGCCCTGCTCACTTTTAAACTGGCTCCTTTGTCTGTTATTATTACAGCTCAGACGTCGGCAGGTAAGCAAAACCTTAACTAATGTTTCTTTCATGCTAGCCATGAAATTATTATTAATAATATTATTATGTTGATTATTATCATAATATCTATTCCTATCTAAGAGAATAGTTATAAACTAAGTGTATATTTTTCAAATTGAGAATAGAAAGTTCCATGAGCTTCTGAGGTCATTAGATTGCTTTTTAGAACTCTTGATTGTACATCATCAACTTGAATGATCAGAGTTAGGGTAGGGCTGTCGGTGAGGTGCAATTGATATAATCTGTACTATTACAGCTATTTTAACCTTGTCAGCAATGGCAGCTAAATTAAATTTCTTGGTCTGCTAAGGTCATCATGGTCTTAAGATGGTTTACAAAGGAATGGTATAATCAGGTGTGTTAGAAGCTGGGGGTTTGCTCCTAATCTACACTACTTGTGGGCTACAATCGTACATTCTTTATTTAACCTATGCAGCAATGGTTTTGGTCAAATGTGTCAGGAGATAAGGATGTGTAAGAGTTCTTAGTCTGGATCGCTAAAGAAAACCTAAAATTCAAGAGATCATTTACTGATAGCGCAAAGATTATGACAGTTCTGCTGAACACAATACTGCTGAACCCAGTTTTGATGGGTTGTGATATGTATTTAAGAGCTCAGCAGCTCACTGCATGGTTTCAAGTTTAACAGAAGACAACCGATAAAAGTGACAACAAAGCCAGTCACAACAGCTCCTTAGCTGTCGGGAATTTGGGAAACTGTACCCTGCATATCTGACTTAAAACATAGGATATACAGGGCTGGGGAGATGGCTCAGCTGTGAAGTTCTTCAGAAAACTCTTTACAAATGAAACAACTGCAAGAAACTGATTTCATTTTCAAAATTCAGGAATATGAGACATGAATTGCCAAGCTTTGTATGCGTTCTGCTTTGTATTTCAATAGAGTAAAAGGGCCATCAAGAATATCATACAAAAATGCACCTACCTCCCAGCTCTCGAGCCGTTTCTCTATGATGCACCTCCCAATATCCTGAAGTATGTGGCTGGACAGTTCAGCAAGGTAAGAAATGCTCTCATAGCCTGGAAACAGGGAAGAAAATGAAGTGATTTGCCAGCTTGTTTTTCTGCTTCTGTAAAATTTGGTCTGGGTTTTACTATTTAAGTCTCAACTCTCCTCAATCTCAATTGACACAGGTAACATAGGTTAATAAAACTCACAGATAAATGAAATTCTTCATCCTTCATACAGTTCCCAAGCCCTGTAGTGTCTTCTTAAACTGTATAAAAAGGCGGTATTATGCCAACACAGTAAAATCCTTATAATATAGATGATTTCTGCTGAAACTTATCTTTTATTAATTTCCTGTGTCCTTTAGTCTCACTTTTAGTCGAGGAACATAGCAAACATCTTAAGAACGAGAAAGAGAAAAGTCTTTGAAACTCTGTATGTGCTGGAGATACCCTCAGTTATTTGGTGCACAGTCTTCTTATGAACAATGTAAACAAATATAACTGTCATATTTCATAGATCATTGCAGATTGATTGCAGTGTAGAAAGGTCAAGCTGCCGAAGTGCACAGCCACCAAGGCAGATTCTGACAGCAAGGACTGAAGAGAATGACTGTGTTATGGCCATTGGCAATCGGGACGGTGCCCCTCAGCTGTTGGGAACTGTCGAAACTGAACTCGGCAAGTCTGAATTAAAACATAGGCTCTGGAATTTGAGGCCAGCCTGATCTGTACAGAGATTTCCAGACCAGCCAGGTTATAAAGTAAGACCCATCTCAAAAATAAGCAGGAAGCAAACAAAACAAACAAACAAGAAAGAAATAAAATGTCATTTGCATAAGACATGCGCCAGAGTGTTTATGTGTGTAGGCTCAGTTCTGTCTCTTTACCTCTTTTGGTTCGTGTTTGGAGCTGGGCATGGCACCGAAGGCCACACACAGCAGCTGGCTCTGCCACTGAATCATGTTTCAGGTTAAAGCTCTACCCCTCAGGAGAGCTCTGACCTCTCTAAACTGGAGATTATTACACAGAAGACAGGAGCAAGAACACTTACTCCAGATACTGTTGTAGAGGTTATGAGATAGCATATGTTAAGAGCTTAATTAAAGCTAAGGTACTTAAAAATACCAAAATATGGAAACAAAACCAAGCAAAATTCTGTTTTTAAGAAACAGGACATTTGGGCCCAGTGTCGTGGCTCAGCAGGCAAAGGTGCTTCCTCCAGACCTGACGATCTGAGTGTAATCAGGAGCCCACCTGGTGAACTGAGAGTCATTTTCCAACTTCCACGAGTGTACTATGGCATGAGCACCCCCACAGCACAAACTGATAAATGTTAAAACAGCACCCCACATTGGGGCTGATGAAAAAGTACAGGCATTTGCCAGCAGGCTTGGTCTGAGTTCAATCCCTGGAGCCTGTGTAAAGGTGGAAAGAGAGAACTAACTCTACGGGCTTGTTCTCTGAGGTGCACAAGCATGTTGTAGCGCACATGCCCACCCACAATAATAAATAAACAAACAGACAAACAAACAAAGCAAACATTCACATGTTTAAAGCCAACTAAATTTTCCCAAGTTAATGGAAGAAGACAAACTCAGTTGGATAGTCAACTTTCGTGCTATTGTAAACCAGGTCATTTCCTCCACCTCCTTCCCTCTCCCTTCCCTTCTTCCTTTTATCTCCCATCTCTGTCTCCAGCGCAGGAGATCAAACCCAGGGACTTGTGCATGCTTGCCAAATATTCTTATCATTGAACTACCTTAGTTTTTCAAAGACAGGATATCATTGTGTAGCCTGGGTAGACCTCCAGTTCATAATCTGCCCAGTTCATGATCCTCTGGACTTTGCCTGCTGAGATAGGTGTATGCCACCATACCCAACCTGTATTTCCTTAAAGGAAGTAAAATGGGAGCTGAGTATTAAACAACGAGAAAGAGTTAAGCAGCAAGAGGACATTTCCTCATTGGGAAACAGCTGATGACATAGTGTGCACGCTCTGATGTTCAGGAGACAAGGATGGAGAGGTCAGAGTCTGGAGACTGAAGATTCATTTAAGAGATGATGGCAGAGGACCTCCCTGCCTTGCTAAGGAGCTTGGCTTCACTGTTTTTGATAGCGGGGAGACCTCAGATTCATGTTTTCGGTGTGAGTGGATCCGCCAGCTTTGCTCATTTCCCTGCTTTATTCTGTCTCTATAGCATAAAGGTTAAAGTAATTTGAAAAGAATGTATTTCACTTCCAGCCCTTTAGTTTATAGGTGATGTGCTGAACATAAATTCTCTTCTACATTACTTCTGATACAATATTGCTTTTAAAGATAAACAATCTAACTTAGGAAAGTAAAGATGATGTTTTTATCTGTTTCTCTGTCTAAGGTGCTGCCTCACGACAGCAAAGCCCGCCGGCTTTTTGTAACGAGCGGTGGACTTAAAAAGATCCAAGAGATAAAGGCGGAACCTGGTTCCCTCCTCCAAGAATACATCAACAATATTAACAGCTGTTACCCAGAGGAGATAGTAAGGTGAGGGGAATGGACTTAAGCTGCTCAATATTGCATAACTTTTGTTCTTTGTTTTCAAATGTAGCTTTGGGGGGATGGAGAGAAGCGCTTGCTGTGAAAACAAGAGACCTGAGTTAGGGTCCCATACCGCGTAGAACCTATGCAGCACACACGTGTCCTAGGCACTGGGAGCAGACACAGGGGAAACCAGGAAGCTCACACTAACCAGCTAAGTCGATGTCAGTGAGATTCAGGTTCAGTGTGAGATGTCTCCAAACACAAGGTGGTAAGTGTTACACTTATATCCACACACATGTGCATACATGCCTCCCCCTCCCCCACGCACACCAAGAAGAAAAGGGTTAGGAGGACGAGGAGGAAGCCACTGTTGATTTCTGTTGTTTGAGATGATCTTGCTGTCCAGATTGGACTTTGCCCTGAATTCCTTAATCTTTCCCTCTTAGCCTCCCGAGTGCTGAGATTACAGGAGACCTACCTACCAAGCCAGGCTCAACATGAACCTACTTTCAGGCCCCGTGCCGCTGAGCTACACCTCCAATCTAGATTAATATTTCTCAAAATGAAGTCTATTTTTAGAGCATTAAACCCAAGTCTCAGGTCTTGTAAACCTAGAGGAAAACTGTATGGTTAAGTCCTTAAAAAAAAAAAAAAAGCAAATTTGCCAGAAAAAGGATAGAATAATCTAAAGAACTGAGTCTTGTAGCACAATTAATAAAAACCCAGAGACAGAAATTGGGATTCAACCTGAAGGTCAGAAAAGCAAAACAGCCAGCCACTGACTCTTACCTCTACCTCAGTCCAAAATGACGATCCTGCCTCCAGGAATCTCAGAATGAGACTGTGTCTGAGAGCTGTCTCCTCCCGTCTTACATTCCTCTCTAGAGCTGGGATTAAAGACGTGTACCACTACAGCCCAGTTTCTATGGTAAACTAGTGTTGGCTACTGGGATTAAAGGTGTGTGTCACCACTGCCTGGTCTGTAAGCCTGATCAGGTAGCTGTTTTACTCTCTGATCTTCAGGCAAGCTTTATGAATTAAGTTACAAATGAAATCTCATTACAGAGCCTTCAAGAACAACACAGATCACATAGAGTACAGATTTACTTGTATTTTCTCCACAAATAATATACAAACTCCCTCCTTAACAACCCAAGACTGTAACATCTATAAATTATACCTTCCACCTATTCTTCCTACTTAAAACTTAAAGATCCTCCTGCCTCTGCCTCCTGAGTGTGGAAATTAAAGGTGTGTGCCACAATGCTGGCTATTTTAATGGTTTTAAAAACATAGTAACATTGAGTTTAAGAGCACAAGGTAAGATTAAATTATTCTTTTACTCAACTTTCATGTGGTTTTCTTCCCCACCCCGCTGACAGAGAATCGTGCTATGTAGCCCTGGCTGGCTGAAATTCTCACAGATCTTGCCTGCCTCTGCTTCCCAAGTGCTGGAATTAAAGGCGTGTGCTACCATGCCTGGCTTGAACTCCTTTTAAAAACTTACAACTACCTCTCTCTCTCTCTCTCTCTCTCTCTCTCTCTCTCTCTGTGTGTGTGTGTGTGTGTGTGTGTGTGTGCATGAGTGCAGGTGCCCTCAAATGGATCCCCTGGAGCACCTGAGATGGTGCTGGGAACAAAACTGAGGTTCCCACTTGGTTCCTCTGCAAGAGTGGTTCATGCATGCTCTTAACCACTGTGCTGTCTCTGCAGTGCAAGTTACACACGCTTGAGAGGCTGTTGGGAGCTTGAAACAATTCCAATAAGCCTATTTTGAAACTATTACTATATTAGTATATGATATCAGAGTAGTACTATGCCATAGCATATATAAAAGATACAAATAAATAATAAAAAGCTATATAACAAAAATACTTGTAAAACTACAAAATGAGCCAGGCAGTGGTGGCATGTGCCTTTAATCTCAACACTTGGGAGGCAGAAACAGGTGGATTTCAGTGAGTTCAAGGCCAGCCTGCTCTACAAAGTGAGTTCCAGGATAACTAGGTCTGTTACACAGAGAAACACTGTCTTGTAAAACCAAACCAAACCAAAACAAGACAAAACAAAACAAAACAAAAGCCCCACCAACCCCCCCATGAAGTAATTCTGAAAATAGTTTATTAGTAAACTTTGTTTTTGTATATGGATGTATGTATACTTAGGAAGAATACTGTGCATTTTATGTATGAATATTTTATATATGCTTAATATAACTTTCAATACAGTGTTTTAAGAAAGAAAATAAAATAAAAATGGAGAAAACAAAAGGGAAACTAAAGATCTCCAGAACAGAAATGATCTGTTGTCAACCAATGATTAGGTACTTTTTTTTTTTGAAAAAAATTCATTTTTTTTCCCTTTCTAAGTACAGTTTAACTAAGAAATAGTGGAAATAAAAAAAGAACTGTCATAATAGAATTTAGTCTGGTGCTTTGTCAAAATGCTTAAAAAATTTAATCCTTAAATTCTATGCTTTGATATTCTTATTATTATTCTTATTCTTATTATTATTATTATAATTTTGGTTTTTGAGACAGGATTCTTCTGTGTAGCCCTGGCTTTCCTGGAACTGGCTCAGTAGATCAAACTGGCCTTAAGCTCACAGAGATCCTCTGCCTCTGCTGCAGTAATGAAATTAAAGGCATGTACTACCATGCCCAACTAAAATTTCATTTTAAAAACCATCTAATTTTCATGAGGATTTTTGGTTAGCCAAACTTTTTAGTTTTCTGGTTCTTAAAAGAGCATTAGGTACTATAAAATCATTTTTATGAACACCTTTAAAGCACTGTGAAAATAGACAAATATAATTTCAAAATGGTTTCATTTTTACAGGTACCTGTTTCTCAAAACTCAGTTGGTGACAACTGTGTTAGGGCTATTTTTTATGACAACATCAGCCTGATAGTCATTTCATATTTTCTTCCAATTTTCATTTTAATCCATCATTTCTAGCACAAGTGGTGTTATAGGAGGAAAGTGACCTGGACAGGCTCTCAAAGGACCTGTGCTCTAGGTCTGGTCCACTCCCTGGCCACAGGGCACACTCTGAACTCTGGATCTCTGCCCACTCTCAGGACAAAAGCCTTGGGGCACATCTGTTGTGGGGACAGTTCCAGCAATTTACCAGTGTAGCACGAGATCCAAGCCCCAAGGCCAAGACTAAAGTAATCTAAATTCCTTGTGGTCTGCAGTAAGGTTGATTTGCTTACCCTGGGATTAAAGGCCACTGAGCTAGGTTAGAGTAGCGGTGACTGACAGCTAGAGGGAACGAAGGAATTTCGCACTGTTTTTTCCTATGTCTTTGATGATAGCTCAGGTCACGTGTCTGGACAGACCTAGGTGCCTATCTCAGTTCTAATTATTTACTGTGTGACCTTAAAGACAATTATTTAAATTCTTTAAACTAGAATTTCTGTATGTGTAAATATTATTACCTATATCTCATAACATTAGAATTAAATGACATGATCGCCAAAGGCTTGTATTAGTAAGACTTCAATTCAGTCAGTATTTCTCATTGTCCCTTTGGAGTATCTCTAGTCTCATTTTTTTACTCTTGAAATTAAATAGAATTATTAGGTAAATTTTTAATTTTATAATCGCATTACAGATACTATATAGTAGTGTTTTGTTCCTTATTTTTGCTATTTGTTTTGGTGATAAACAACTAGCAAGCAAATATAAAATAAAGTTATTCTGGTATATTTAAAATGCTTTTCATTGCTGAGCCGGAATATAGGTTATATAGGTTTTCCTGATGTGAAGCTGCTTTTGAATCCTTAGCACCATAGTAGTTGGAACGAGGTTTTCTCACAGGAAATATGTAACTTGATCTGCTTATTCCTGGGTCTACATTTTGAGACACTTGCAAGGTCAGTATGTAGTCATGAGAAGCTGGGCAATGCTGCCTGCCTGCTCTGCCGGCGAAGGAGTGTGGGTATGTTTGAGCACGTTGTCTTGACTGGGAGTCCTAGGGACAGCGAAGCCTCTGAGGTCTTTGGGGAAGGAAATATGGCAATGACAGTAAACTTGGAAGTGAATCTAGCAAAGCCTCAAGAATGATCGACACATCCTAACTGATATAGTGAGACTCTTAAAATAACAATGTCCGCTAAAATTATAGTAAGAGACACATGTATAATTTTTAGTTTTCTGGTAGTCACATTTAAGAAAGTAAAATGAAATGGTAAATAAATTTTGATGATTTTTTAAAAACAACCCAAATATCTAAACCATATAATTTCAACTTGTAATCAGTATAAAATTAGTGAGTTATTTTTATATACGTATATTTTGTTACTTCTAGCATATCTTAATTCAGGTAGTAAATCTCATTGGAAATATTTAGATTAAATTTAGATCATATAAAACTTACATTGGAAAAAGAAGACTCACAAATGATTCTGAACTCATTTTTTGTGTTTTCCTATAGTTTATTTGTCAGTTCTGAAGTTAAATTTTAAAAATTTAGTTTCTTAAACACAGTAGCCATATTTCTAGTATTCTTCAGACCAGTGCCTGTCATTTTAAGTAGCACATTTTAAAGATTTTAAACCCTGCCTCCTAACGTTTATATAAAAGCTACCTGTCTGGTGCCTGACACATTTATGAGGTGCCAATGAAAGCAGGACCAGCTTTAACATCTGCACTAACTCAGGCTCAGGGAGGGAGACAGTGGACAGTTCTGCAGTGCCAGACTAAGAAACCAAGTTTTGAAATGGACTTTTTCTAGATTAGGTGGCCTTTTTGATCTTTTGATGTTTTTTTTTTTTTTTTAGACAGGATCAAGGTCTTAATATGTAGTCTTGGCTGATCTGGAACTTTCTATGTAGATGAGGCTGGTCTAAAATTCACAGAGATCCACCTGTAATTACCTCCTGGTAGGAGTTAAAGGTGTGTGCTACCACACCTAGCTAAAATTTTGTCTTATTTTAGTTTTTGATTCTGTGTATATGTATGTGAGTGCAGAAGGAAGAACATTCTTTAAAGGAGCTTCTTAGTTAGTGTGTGTTCTGTTTGACTTTAATTATGAAAAAAGACACTAGTAAAATATAGCTCTGTTTTGTCTACCTTAACCTGATACACTGTGGAAGCATTTACAATCTTTAAAAGATTTATTTTTATTTTTAGTGTATTGGTATTTTGCCTGTGTGTGTGCCTGGTGCCCTCGGGAGCAGAAGAGGGCATGTGCCCTGGAACTGGGGTTACACTGGGCACTGAACCCGGGCACTCTGGAAAAGCAGCAAGTGTTTTAAACCACTGAGCCATCTTTCCAGCTTCAAAACTAAATTCTAAGTAGGCATAAAAACAATTAAAAAGGACAAGGCCTCAACATTAGCTTTTATCTATAGAAAACATAACATAGATTCAGAGGCTTAATCACTTTGAATAAATATTTTGGAAAATTTTAAGTTATAGTTTCCCAGGTTTTTAAATCCATTTTTACATTAGAATACCTGCTAGATTTTATTTAGCTTTTTTATGTAAATAAAAATTCTTTCCATAGTATATCATCACTGTTTATATACACTATTCATATATTTAATAGTTTATACTAAATATTTTATGATACTCAATTTAGAAGTCTAGAAATGTAAATGTATTGTACTATATATGTCCCAGAACCAATGAAGACGGTTAAATTTATATTTTATATAAAATGGGTATTTATAAATCATTTTTCAATTGTTTTCAACATGAATTATGTCTGGTTCTGATCAAGCTGTATTTTAATATATAATTTCTAAGGTAATTGGAATTCAGAAATTGATTAGCAATCATAGGCTGTATGTGTGTAACATATAGAAGACATTTATTAGCTACCATCCTGAAGTACTCTCACTCACTTGGTGTGGTAAGAAGGAAGTCCCTGAAATATTACCGCTGGATTGAAGGAATATGCTTGGACAATATCTCCTTACAATATGACACATTCCTAAAGTGTTTCAGTATCTAGTACAACATTATGAGGAGGATTCTCTTTTTTCTCATGCTCTAACATTATGGATAAGCATCACAGGGACATATGTGAAGTTTCACCCATGATTATCTATTTCAAAACATTCTACATGTGTTTATGTGTGCACACATATGTGCACACATACATGCATGTGAAGGTCAAACCTGTAGGATTGGTTCTCTCCTTCTACTATGTGGGCTCCAGGGATGAACTCAACCCTTATTGGTTGAGCCACCTCACCAGCCCCATAAGTTATTTCAATAAGTTCTTTATGTAGACCACTTTGTGCCTACTGTATGAAAGCTTTCCATACGTCTGATAGCAGATTCTCTTTCTCAGGTACTATTCTCCTGGATACTCAGATACACTTCTGCAGAGGGTGGACAGCTACCAGCCGCTCACTAACTGAACAAAGTATTTCTTTAAACTCGGATTCTGCATAACAACTGTTAAAGGTCTTTCTAAAATGTTTGAACTAGTGCATCTTAGTTTTGTTCAATGTGAAATACCTTTAATATTTTCTATATTTTGTAATACTTTATAAATTATTAGCCGCAATGTGTGGAAGACTAATTATAATCATTTGCATGTGTAGCGATATGCATAAAGGAAGATTTAAAAGGCAATGAAGGGTTTTAAGGTATTTATTTTTCTACAAAACACAGACACAATACAACACACACACATCCTTACAGCTAGATATAAATGAGATGTACTGTTTGAAAACCCCTAGTTATTTCCCCATGGGGGTGGCTAGGTAAAACGGACCTTGGCAGTTACACAGAAAATAAGAAGGGAAGTATGGGAAGACAGAAGTTGTGGCAGAAAAGCAGGGACCGTAAGATGCATGGTTGCTTACGTGCTCTGAATTAATGTAGCAGCTCTGCAGCTAGCCAACTGCCCGGTTTTCTAAGCATTCAGGAAAACTCCTTGTTTATTATTGTGAAACTCTTTTCTTCTCACCCTACAGGAAGTATTCCTTCCCTTTCTTCACTCTGATGGCAAGCTCTCCATTGTCTCCGAGAGGTCTTATCATGATTCCCGTTCAAGGGAAAATGGGTCTTCAGGATTCCCTTGTCCCAGGTTCCCTTTCCCAACGTATTTTCAGAATTCACAGAAATCACCTTAAATTCAGGGATATAAGGTCTAATTTGAGCAAAACAGCAGCAGGCTCAGGCTTAATGCATTTCATTTAAGAAGCTGTAATGGGGCCCCAGCAGATTCCAAAAAAAAAAAAAAAAAGAAAAAAGAAAAAGAAAAAAAAAAACATTAAAAATAGCATCGCTTTTTTTTTTTTTTTAATTTTCCCTACTGTATGGCCAATGTACTTCTGGCCTTAGGAACTTGTGCTTGGATTTATTAGTCTTGGTCGTTATGCCTATGTTTTTGGGCCTAGTGGGACAGTTCTCTTTTTAATTACTCTTACTTATATGTATGAGTGTTTGTTCACATGTATGCCTGTGTATTATGTGCATACCTGCTGCGGATGGAGCCCAGAAGAGCACTTTCTTGGAGGCCCGAAGAACAGAGGAGGACAGGCTATCCCAGGAAATCCCCAAGCTACAGTGGGGCCAGTCCTAAAAACCTGGTTTCACGATTCCTTCTCAAACTCCTGTAATGTTTAGTTTCCTCAGAATGAAAGTTTTCATTACACGGGATATTTTTCTGGATTTACCTCCATATTGCTTATTTTTCTACCACCAAACAGATTTAAAAACTTCTTCAGAACCAGCAACCAATTTCTCATCTCTTTTTCACTTCTGTCAAGCTGGAATATCTAGTGGTTTCCTGGTCATGGTGGTATGCTGGGGATTGAACTCGTGGTCCTGCATGGACAATGACACCCCCACTCCTGATTTCATTTCCTAATATTTTCATAGCCTATTTTATTCTTTGCACCAATTTCCTAGACTCATTGCATAGTAAAACATTATTTTTATTTTCAATCTTTTAGCTTCTCTTTCTTTTTCTTGTCTCTCCACCAGTTTTTACTATAAGCCATTTAAGGATTTGAGGACATTAAAGCTTTCATCTTTCTCTTTCCCTTTCTCTCTCTCTCTCTCTCTCTCTCTCTCTCTCTCTCTCTCTCTTTCTGTTTTTCAGGACAGAGTTTCTCTGTGTGGCCCTTTCTGTCCTGGAGCTCACTCTGTAGACCAGGCTGGGCTTGGACTCACAGGAATCTGCTTGTCCCTGCATCCCGAGTGCTAGAATTAAAGGCGTGTGCCACCACTGTCTGACTTCGTCATTCTTAATTAGACTTTTCATGTGTTGAAAAAGTCTCAGCACTGGGGAAGCTATGGTGTCGGGATTTCAAGTTTGTGACTAATCTGTGTGACAGAGCAAGACCCTGTCTGAAACAAAAACAAACCAACAAAACCACAACAGCAGTTTTTCAGATGACCATGACGGCGGTAGCAAAAATGAATTTAGCTAGGTTAGAGTGGTGAATCCCCTCACTTCTTCCTATCACCGTTCTACTTTGTGGCTGACGTCTTCCCGTTATATGTCATTTTATCTTTATCAGACCACTACATTAAGAATGAAATAATACTGTTCTGCTAGGTGCTTCTAATTTGATCAGATGTGTTTAGGAAATTTTAAGTTATGTTTCTTTTTTGTTTGTTTGTTTTGTTTGAGGCAGGGTCTATCTATGTTGTATCACTGACTGTCCTGGAACTCACAATGTAGACCAAATCCGAGAGGTCTGTTCACCTCTGCCTTCGAAGTACTGACTTTAAGGGGTATGCCACCACACCCAGCTGTATGAAATGTTTCTTTACAAGACACTTTAAGCAACATCAAACTTAAATTTAAATATAGCATTAAAAATCCTTTTATTTGTGTTAAAGCAAAAATAATGTCTGTTATTGATGATATTCTCTGGCATTTTCACTCCTGATTTAAGTTTTGTTGGTACCAATTGTGCAGACTAACCCCTCTCTTGCTGTCCCCTGCAGTTTATTCAAATTTTAACTTTTTTTTTTTCAGATTCCTCACATTTGAGGGCTATCCGCTGTTAGGGCTTCAGGAATAGAGTTGGCCAGCTTGTTTTTGTAGCTGAAGCTACGCCGCCTGTGTGGGAAGAGATGAAATGAGTAGGACCTTTCTGGAAGGGATATTAAAGCCTGGGTTCTGGGCGCTAGTCTGTCAGGGAGGAAGGGTGATAATAAGCGTTCGTCTTCCTCTTAGGATACTTATGAAAACAACCTATAACGAAGCAGGTAGCGTGTTGTAACTCTTCCATTCTATATCATTGCTATGCTTCAGGGGAGATCTGAGGGACAAAGTTGTACATTTTGGCCAGCAGTTATATAGTGTCTCCCAGTCCTCATTCTTAGGCAAGTGGGGTTTAAGTCCAGTGATTTGTGATAAAGCAAAGCTCCATTTCCTGCCCTCATGGAGTTTTCTAACACAAACACACACTTTCCCAGGTGGAGCAAAACAGCCACAAGACACTGAACACAAAGCAGTCATATTTAATTCAGCATGTGAAAATGACTGACAAATTCATATTCATAGGACATGGGTCTGATTTTCTAACCCTTTCTTCTCAAACAAAACCTTCTCTTAAAGAATGAAAGGTTTGCTTGTTGCTAGAAATGTAGCCCTGCTTAACATTAACTCTGTTTTCAAAACCCAAAGGCCATCCCTAAGAAGTCAAGTTTAGAAACTGACCTTGAAAAGATGAAGAATTTTCTGTAACCATCCCTTTAAAACAGGTGCTAGCAAATGTTGGGGCTTATTTGGTCATCAAATTTGTCATTTAGAAAACTTAATTTGTAGTTACTTTTTCAGAGATTGACAGGACCAAGTGACAAGTCTATAGCTCTCGTATTTGCCAATTGCTTCAAAGTCTTTTTGAGTTTTAAAATTAGATGTTAATTAAAAAAACATAAACACATCGTCTTGTGTTTGATTAGTCCTGGGGCTAGACAGTTGGTCTAATGAGAGGAACTATTTTAAAGAGCATAGAGCTTTGTAAATGCCGGTGATGGTGTGACAAGGGGAGGGAAAGAGGGAAGCAAAACCTCCCCAGATTTCAGAACCCTGGAAAGAATCCATTAAGCAGTTAGTCAAACTTCAAATGGCTTCCTTATCCTTGTACAGTTAGAAAAAAATTGGGGAAAATGGATCCACGTTATTCAAGGATTTTAAATACGATTCCCAGAGACACAGTAGTTTCTTTGTCTTATAGATCACAGAGTTTTCACTATTTATCTATCTAAATGGGTTTAGGGGAAAATATTTCTTCAGTAATTAATTTAGGGGTCAGTATAAAAATAAGTATTTATGAGTTCCTTTTAGTATTTTACTATTTCTATAGTAATTTTAACTGAATGCTGGATCAAGAATATTAATATAGCACCATCACAAGATGGTCTAGTACAAATACATACACATTAAGCAAAGCCTGTCAGTTTGTCTATGCATAGAATTTATTGGTAACATATTCCTAGTAAAAATTTTCTAAAATATAAAATGTATACATTACTGATAGTAAATGTTCAAAGTATGCTGGATAGAAACATGTTTAGCTGCTTGTGAATGATTATGACCTATGTCGAGTTCTCCATTTTACGTATTTCTGTAGCGTGTACAGTGTAAACCAACCATACAAGTGTTGCGGCTCTGTTCTCTTCAGTTCCCAGTATCTCCTGCACCGCAGCAAGCCTGCTGTGGGCAGAAGGGGCAGAGGCTGGGCTGAGAGTCAGGGCTTCTGGTCTCTGACTGATTTAGGCCGAAACAATTTTCTCGCTATGGTCTTTCAAGTCTCTTCAAGTTCTGAGGCTTTAGTCTTCTGGAGTACTATAGTGTAGAAGGGAGCACACGGTTTCAAGGAGACCAAGATCCACATGAGAACCCCCAAACTACTATGCTCAAAGTGAGGCCATGGGCAAGTTAGCAATAGCACTCCCTTCATACAGTTCTGAGGGTGAGATGCAGCTAGAGAAGCACATGGCCGACAGGACAGCAAACACTGCCACCATTAGTCTATTCTTTGCATGAGTTGGAAAGGGTGACCAATCCTCAATACATTTTATTTCCATTGGCATAAATTGTTGTAACCATCTTATTTTGTTAAAATAAGACACTTGACTGCCATCTGCTGGAAAATTCTCTTTGTAAACATGCAAATCTGTGATGTCCAATGCATAAACCATGACACCAAGAAGTACTGGTACCTTTGTATAGAAATGACCTGCACCGCTGTGTGCAAGCACTCACTAAAAGTCTACGTGGTATTCTTCTAACTTTTGTTTAGAAAAGCATTGCAGGCAACACTGTTGTGTAAGTAAATTAATTTGAAAAATTCAAAGTTAATCTCTGGAGTCAAAGTTCAGAGCATTAAACATTACACCATGGAGTCAGCAGCAGAGTTAATCTCAGTAAAAGGAATCAGCATCTGTCTTTTACAAGCCTAGAAACATTTGGGCTCACCTCTTCCCTCATTTCCCACTTCTTTACCAAAAAGAACATCCTACAGTAAAACCTGTAGTTAAGGTTGGCAGAAATGCTAACTGAAGGCTGGAGAAATGAGTCAGCAGTTAAAAAGTGCTTGCTATTTTTGTAGAGGACCAGAGTCAGGTTCCTAGTCCCCACTTCTGGGGCTCACAACCATCTGTACTTCCAGATCCAGGAGATATGACACCATCTTCTAGTCTCCATAGGAACCCATGTGCTTACTCTTGCATGCACACGTGCATACACATGCACAAAATAGTAATAAGAATAATCTTTAAAAATTAATTGTCATTAACTTTTATAATTTAATAAAATTTACTTAAAAAATAAACTTTGCATATAAGATCAAATTAGGAAATTTTTAATGTATTTAAAGCAAAGCATGTTTTAAGAGGACATTTTTATTTTAAAATACATTTTTATTTTAAAAATTAAACCCCAAACAATATGCTGATGGCATACCATTATTACAAGGCAGATATCTCTCAGGAAAGCAGCTTTTCTGTGTTCCATTTAGCCCAGAACCTTGGCTGGGACATAACAGGCAGAGAATCCTTATTGTAGTGATGATTTCCTTTTGCACACAAAAGGACGATTTTGGCTCATTTTCATACCTAGCACTGCAATCACAGAGAATACTGTCTAGCACGACGTATGAGAGAGTTTGGTAGTGGGAGCACTCTGGGGCTAGGATGGCTCCTAGGAACTTGGAGGAAACAGCAGCCTATTGTACAAGAAGAGTAAAGGCAGGGTGACAAAAGGTACCAGCGACTCCAAGTGTCATACTATGTAAGGATAGAAAATGACCAGCCAGAGCCCATGGCACAGAACATGTGATAAAGTACATTTAAAAGTAACGATACTAAGGACTTCAGTGGTGGCTTCTTGTATATGTAGGGTGACTGAACACACAGTTATAGAATGGGGCTCTCTCACAGAAATAAGGATAGGATCCCAGAATAATAATAACAGAAGCCAGATAATGCCTGGAGCAAAATTTGCAATTATTGCAACAAAAGGACAAGGTTAATGTGTCATCCAGTGGTCCTATCCAGACATCTATGAAGACAGTTAATAGAACTTAATGCTCTAGAGGCAAATTGGGGGTGGTTTACAAGGTAACAACTTAGAACAATGATAGACCAAGAATGGATGGTTCTCCTCTTAAGTCTGCTCAATGATGGACTGTAACCTGTAAGCAAACAAAGCATTTCCTCCTGAGTTGCCTCTGCTTAGTGTTTGATCACAGAAATGGAAAGCAAACTAGGATACTCCCGAAGTCACTAGCCCAGTTTCCAGAACTGCACATGTCTCAAACCTCAATCCCACTGTCTAAGGAGACAACGCTCCCCTCGAAAATGTACTTAGTGCTGTTTCTCATCACCAGAATGTTGTTCTATCCCTTTAACCAGGGAAGAGCTCTACAGCAGGAAGCGCTGACACACCTCTCAGAATACCCTATGCTGTTAGTGGGATTTGTTGGGACAAGGAGGCCAGGAAGTTACCAGGAATCATAAAAGAAGAATCAGAGCACAGACTTCTAGGAACCTGGAGCAAGATTCACACCACCCATAGAAACAACATTCCACTACTATGACCTAACTTGAATGAATCATCTGACCATGGGGCATCATCAGCTATGCAGCCAGAGGTCTGGCTGTACACACACAACTCATATAACTTGGGTGGGCCTAGAATTAAAAGAAACAGACATGGGGTTGGGCATGAACACAGAGGGAAGACACCAGTTTAGGGACTAGACCCAAATGTCATCCACTGCTATTGTGCTGGTATTCACAGCTATAGCTAGCTGCATGGGGTTGGCCTTTGAGAAAACTTATGGATGAGGGTAACAGAAACCCATTTTTTCACAGATGGTTTAGTCAAGAGTGCAAACTAACAGTGGATGTTGCTTCCTATGAAAGGGGTGGGGAAGGGAATTCCTTAAAATGGGGAAAGTTTCTGATGTCCACTGGCCACCCACTTTGCAGGGAGAGAAGTGTGGCTGAAGAGAAGACACGGGGTAATGGCTTGATCAGGGACACAGGAGAATCCCTTGTATGAATAGGAAGTTAGCTGTTCCCTAAATGACACTGAAGAGCATTCACCAAGCCACATGTGTAAGTCAGCCTCAGAGTACCATAGTGCTGGCACAAGGGCCCAGGGATGGATCAGCAAGTGTGGCAGGGACAATGGTCAGGTAGAGTTTCAATGGTGTGGCCTTTCATTCACCAAGACCGGCCTGGCTACTGCTACTATCTGATGTCCATACAGCAGAGTCCACAAGTTCTATTCAGTTTGGAGACTCCAGCCTAGAGATGACACCCTAAATCAATGAACATTTTATGGGGGCTATGTCCAAAACACAATACATGGAAACATAGGCCTGGGGGAAGTAGGCATGACCCTGCTTTATGTCATTCTCAGTGGCATATTTGGGCAATTGTAGCTCCTGTTACTCAAGCCTTCTATTCTGTGGGTCAAGAAACCTTGTTTCCCGGAGGGGTCATATGTCATTAAAGGATCTGATTATACTTTAAAATGCAGCTGCCACTCAATCCAGTACTCTAATCTCTGTATGCCACGGGAGCAGGACCACAATCACTCTGTACCAATAGTGATTATTGAATCTGGTCTCCCGGAGGAGGAAGGGTTGCCTTAGAGCCTGCAGGAAGGAAAGAGCATTTGGTACATGCGATGCAATAGGGGTAGCTCCTGCTGTCCATTCTTAGTTTCAACAGAAAACTGACAAGAACAAAATGATGTCTGGGGTAGGCACGGCAACTAGGGCCTGTGAGGACGTGGGTTTCACATGCACCAGGCTGTGTGCCTAGACCAGCGTGGGATGAGTTGGAGTGCTGGAGAAGGTGGAAGTAGCATTTCAGACTGAGATCCAGTGCAACTTCAGCAACTGTGGTTTCCCCACAAATACCCCCAGCTTCCTCAGGAGCAAAGGTCAACAATGATCCCGGGCTCCCTGGGTCTCAAGTGGAGTCACACTTTTTTAAAAAAAATTTTCTTTTCCCCTTTTATTTTTTTCCGAGATAAGGTCTTACTTGCAGCCTAAGCTGGCTTTGAACTTGAGATCCTCTTGCCTCAACCTCCATAGTGTTGTGATTACAGATGTGCACTACTACATATGGTTAGACATTTTTTATATCCTAACTCCAGAAATGAACTGAATTAAATCACAACCAGAATGAATCTTAATAATTTGTCAAATTTTAAAATTAATACCTTCATTTGAATAAAAGTAATTTAAGAACATTGAGGTAACTGGGTCACATCAGAATTCAGCCAGATAAAAATAATCCAAGTTCTTCAGATTTCCTGAGAATTTTAGAATTTACATGGTGAAGATGTCATCACTGTGTCTCTGGGGTAGGTTTTGGATGTTAATGGCAGAATGTGTCTTTTATATTAAATATTGTGTGTCAT